GTAGAGGAATATAGAAAGATGGAGTGATTGATCTATCATCATAACAAAGTACACAAGGTTGATGAGAGGGAGTATAGAGGAATATAGGAGAAGGATGGAGGGACTGGAGACATTAGGAAGGAAAACATTAATAAACTTAATGATTGGAGAATACACTGGACCTCATCTTCACTAGCAGTGATGATCTGATACGAAATGTCACCATATAAAAAACAATATACTCAGATGACAACATAATCGAGGTTCAGATATGTATGCTCGGAGCCCCAGACCGACAAAATGTGATCAGTTACGAGGGAGCCTTCACCAAATTCAACTTCAATAACAAGAAAATAAAGTGGGACCAAGTAAACCTAGTCCTGAATGATATAAGCTGGGAAGATAGACCCCAGCTTATGCCTAGAACAGATTAACTCTGTGGCACTCGATGTATGCTCAAGGCATATTCCTTTAAGAAAAAGGAGTAGATGTAAAATAGAAAGAGACAGGCGCTCCCTTTACAGGTGACGGAAAAGAATAACAGAGCGGCTAAAAGAGGCCAATATACCTGCAATGCGTAAGGAGACACTGGTCAGAGAAATAGCAAACATCGAACTAAAGCTAAAGGAATCTTATAGGAGTCAGGAATCGCGGGAAGAACTAAAAGCCATAAATGAAATCGAAAGAAACTCAAAGTATTTCTTTTCTTATGCCAAATCAAAGTCGAGAACAACATCCAATATTGGGCCCCTACTTAAACAAGATGGGTCCTACACAGATGCTAGCAAGGAAATGAGTGAACTACTAAAGTCCCAATATGACTCAGTGTTTAGTAAGCCGCTAACCAGACTGAGAGTCGAAGATCTAAATGAATTTTTTATGAGCCACAGAAATTGGTAAACACAAGCCTATCTAACGTTATCCTGACGCCAAATGACTTCGAACAGGCGATAAATGACATGCCCATGCACTCTGCCCCAGGGCCAGACTCATGGAAGTCCGTGTTCATTAAGAACTGCAAGAAGCCCCTATCACATGCTTTTAACATCCTATGGAGAGTGAGCATGGACGCTGGGGTCATCCCACAGTACTAAAAACAACAGACATTGCTCCACTCCACAAAGGTGGCAGTAAAGGTGGCAGCAAAGAACTACAGACCGATAGAGCTAACATCCCATATCATAAAAATCCTTCAGTGTTCTAAGAAGCAAGATCGCCACCCATCTAGATACCCATCAATTACACAAGCCAGGGCAACATGGGTTTAGAGCAGGTCGCTCCTGTCTGTCCCAACTATTGGATCGCTACGACAAGGTCCTGGATGCACTAGAAGACAAAAAGAATGCAGATGTAACATACACAGACTTTGCAAAAGCCTTCGACAGGTGTGACCATGGTGTAATAGCGCTCTAAATTCGTGCTAAAGGAATAACAGGAAAAGTTGGTGGATGGATCTATAATTTCCTGACAAATAGAACACAAAGAGTAATAGTCAACAGAGTAAAGTCTGAGGCGGCGATGGTGAAAAGCTGTGTTCTGCATGGCACAGTACTTGCTCCTATCTTGTTCCTCATCGTCATTTCAGACATAGACAGGGATATAAGCCAAAGTGCCTTGTCTTCCTTTACAGATTACACCACAATCTGCATGACAGTGTCTTCCATTGCAGACACTGCAAGGCTCCAGGTAGACATAAACCAAGTCTTTCAATGGGCTGCAGAAAACAATATGAAGTTCAACGATAAGAAATTTCAATTACTCCGATATGGTAAACGTGAGGAAATTAAAACTTCATCAGAGTATTAAACAAATTCCAACCGCACAATAGAGCGAGAAACTACCGTCAAAGACCTGTGAGTGATCATGTCGGAGGATCTCACCTTCAAGGACCATAACATTGTATAAATCGCATCTGCTAGAAAAATGGCAGGATGGATAATGAGAACCTTCAAAACAAGGGATGCCAAGCCCATGATGACACTCTTCAGGTCGCTTGTTCTGTCTATCCTGGAATATTGCTGCATACTAACAGCACCTTTCAAGGCAGGTGAAATTGCTGACCTAGAAAATGTACTGAGAACCATCATGGCGCGCATAACTGAGATAAAACACATCAGTTACTGGGAGCACTTGAAGTTCCTGAACCTGTATTCCCTGGAATGCAGGCGGGAGAGATACATGATTATATACACCTGGAAAATCCTAGAGGGGCTAGTACCAAACTTGCACACGAAAATCACTCACTACGAAAGCAAAAGACTCGGCAGACGATGCAACATCCCCCCAATGAAAAGTAGGGGTTTCACTAGCACGTTTAGAGACAACACAATAAGTGTCAGGGGCCCAAGACTGTTCAGCTGCCTCCCAGCATACATAAGGGGGATTAGCAATAGACCCCTGGTTGTCTTCAAGCAGGCACTGGACAAGCACCTAAAGTCGGTACCTGACTAGCCGGGCTGTGGTTCGTACGTTGGATTGCGTGCACCCAGCAGCAAGAGCCTGGTTGATCAGGCCCTGATCCACCATGAGGCCTGGTCACAGACCGGGCCCGGGGGCGTTGACCCCCGGAATTCTCCGGGTAAACAGTTATTTCAGTGATTCTCAGTAAATCGTATTTTTTTTTCAATATTTTGACTAAATCAATTATATGTCTCCAATGCATTTAGAAAACTAGTAATACCTGTAGAGGTTAGTAATGAATGAATTTAATAATAAATTGTATGGGAATTGAAGCCTATGCTTATGCATGAAGCCTACATTCTTCCATTGAGTTATGGCTCACTGCTGCAGAGAAAGCTTCTTACAAATTAATAGTAATGTTCCAATGTCATCCTGTTTACAGTGAATTTGGTTGCAATTATTTATGAATTTTTATAATTGCATTGAAACTGGGCCATAAGGGATAATAGGTAGATGTATATGTGCTGTCGGTGGTGAGTAACTTGTGTCTATGAGGAACCTTCAGTTATCATCACGGTCTGCTAACTTTACCTAAATAAGACAAGTTGTCTTCCTTTCCTAGCCACCATGTATTAGTGGTAGAGTGGCCTTAGGTTTAGTTTCCAACCAGTTTATAGTCAGTATAGAGAAGATGGTAGTTACCTCCCTGAAAATGCCTCTAACTGAAAAAAAAGTTTAAACTGAACCGTAGAACATAAGGGAAAAATGGGGTTACATTTTTCATACTTCTAAAATAAAATACGAATAAGTCACAGCATTTGGGAGTGGGAGCTTGAAGACATGAGTGGGAGCTTGAAGACATGAGTGGGAGCTTGAAGACATGAGTGGGAGCTTGAAGACAAGTGAGTGCTGATACTGGCAGGCCAGTGTGTTATATACTGGACCATACTGACCATGGTAAGTGAGTGCTGATACTGGCAGGCCATGGGGTTATATACTAGACCACACTAACCATAGTGAGCGCTGAAACTGGGCCGGCCAGTGTGTTATACACTGGACCGTACTGACCATAGGTTAGAACTCCACCACTTCTGTGATATGTATGAAGTCATAATATCAAGAGTCATGAAGATGCAAGCAAACGTTGAGAAAATATATTTTATTTCAATATCCAAGGCACTAGTGTCGGTTATATGGATGCAATATCTAAAATTATATATATCATTTGCAGTCCTGTTTAAAAATAAGTGATAAACTTGAGGTCAGTGGTAGGCACACCTAACCGAATAGCTAGCTTTGCTAACCGCTAATCTGCTAACTAAAAAATTAGCTCCGCTACCGCTAAACGGCCAAAAAATTAGCAGAATCTAATGCTAAATGCTAACCGCTAACTTTTTCAAATGCATTCAGATTCAGTTTAGTTTTTAGGTATTTTGCTTTTACTTTTAAGACTTTTAGAACAGACCTGGAGAGCTTCCTAATAAGATATGGAATGTCAAGGTCATATGATGATCAGTTGTTGACTAATAATGAGGTTAATGTATCATGAATACATTAGAAAGACAAAAATATTAGTAGATTTTGGGACTATTACTTTAATAACTTTCTAACGTGGGTAAGATTGAAAAAAACTGAAAACCCACACAGTTCCACTACAGAAAATGTAAACAAAGAAAACTCTGACAAAAAGTGAAATTATGTTAATTTTTTAGGCTAATGGAAAGGACAGTGTTGCAAGCAGTACTCATCTTTAATTCTCAAGTATAAGTACCAGTGTTTAAAAGGAACAAAGTAAACTACTTGAGTACTGTACTTAATCAACTTTTTTGGTATTTACTTTTTAAAAACTACTGAAATTCACTACAATCTGATAACGATACGTTACTCGTTACATCATCAGTAATTTTTGAAAAGTAAACACCGAGAAAAGTTACTAAAGTAGCGTACTCAGGTAGTTTTACTTGGTTACTTTATTACACTGGAAACGGTCCTGTACTTCTAAACTGTCATAACTTTCAATACCCACCAAAATTTAGAAAATGTCTCTTGACTTGAGGACAAAATAGATATCCAAGTGGGGCCACGGGTTGAGCGACTCCTGGCCCTCAGCCTGAGCAGCCTCTGCTTCAACCATGGCCACTGAAGACTTCTCATCAACACCCTCAGGCGGAACAGAAACGCCTCCCCTGTTTATGACGATAAGTGACAACGCACCCCAGTGATCGCTGACACTGTAAGACTATAACAGTGTTGCTCAGATGTTGCTGCTGCTGCGTTGACAAGTCACGTTTACATGTAGTCAGCCAATAGCGTACCTGACTGACTGTTGGAGAAATGCCCACAACAGACAGGAAAAAAACACGTGCACCGTTGAAAAGGCATTGCTTTCCGACTACCAACAACGTTAGTGGAACTTTATTTAGCGGAAGCTTATTGGTCCGATAACGGTTTCCGAAGTTAGCGGAAACACTAATCCCTAAACAAAAAGTTAGTTCCACTAATTAGCAGTTAGCATATTAGCGGAACTGTGCCCATCACTGCTTCAGGTTAATGTTTTAACTAGATTTTGATTTTGAATGTAGTAAGTTACTAACGTGTATGTACCAAATATTTCAGAAACATGTGAGAAAAAACAGAGAGCAGAAGAACAACGATCAAGACGAAAACACGGCCGTTCCCAGAGCCGTCCTCCACACACTCAACACACAGTAAAGTAAGTACCCAGAGCCTCCCTCCACACACTCAACATACAGTAAAGTAAGCACCCAGAGCCTCTCTCCACACACTCAACACACAGTAAAGTAAGCACCCAGAACCACCCTCCACACACTCATCACACAGTAAAGTACCCAAAGCTGCCCTCCACACACTCAACACACAGTAAAGTAAGTACCCAGAGCCTCTCTCCACACACTCAACACACAGTAAAGTAAGCACCCAGAACCACCCTCCACACACTCATCACACAGTAAAGTACCCAAAGCTGCCCTCCACACACTCAACACACAGTAAAGTAAGTACCCAGAGCCTCCCTCCACACACTCCACACAGTAAAGTAAGTACCCAGAGCCTCCCTCCACACACTCCACACAGTAAAGTAAGTACCCAGAGCCTCCCTCCACACACTCAACACAGTAAAGTAAGTACCCAGAGCCTCCCTCCACACACTCAACACAGTAAAGTAAGTACCCAGAGCCTCCCTCCACACACTCAACATACAGTAAAGTAAGCACCCAGAGCCACCCTCCACACACTCAACACACAGTAAAGTAAGTACCCAAAGCCGCCTTCCAAACATTCAAAACACAGTAAAGTACCCAGAGCCTCCCTCCACCCACTCAACACACACTAAAGTAAGTACCGAGAGCCTCCCTCCACACACTCAACACACAGTAAAGTAAGTACCCAGAGCCTCCCTCCACACACTCAACACACAGTAAAGTAAGTACCCAGAGACTCCCTCCACACACTCAACACACAGTAAAGTAAGTACCCAGAGCCTCCCTCCACACACTCAACACACAGTAAAGTAAGTACCCAGAGCCTCCCTCCACGCACTCAACACACAGTAAAATAAGTACCCAGAGCCTCCTTCCACACACTCAACACACAGTAAAGTAAGTACCCAAAGCCACCCTCCACACACTCAAAACACAGTAAAGTAAATAGAGCCTCCCTCCACACAGTTGATAGCCAAGAAATGAGTGAGATACTAAGGTCCCAATATTACTCAGTGTTCAGCGAGCCACTGCCCACTCTAAGGGTCGACAATCCAAATGAATTCTTTATGAACGAAACCCAAAATCTGGTCATCCCAAAACTCTCGGATATTATTCTAGCTCCACATGATTTTGAAGAGGGAATTAATGACATGTCCATGCACTCTGCCCCAGGCCCAGACTCGTGGAACTCCGTGTTCATCAAGAATTGCAAGAAGTCCCTATCGTGTGCCTTCAGCATTTTATGGAGAGGGAACATGGACACGGGTCATCCCACACACAATAAAAACAACAGATATAGCCCCACTCCACAAAGATAGCAGTAAAGCAATTGCAAAGAACTACAGACTGATAACACTAACATCCCATATCATCAAAATCTTTGAGAGGGTTCTAAGAAGCAAGATAGCCAACCACGTAGATACCCATCAGTTACACAGCCCAGGGCAATACGGGTTTAGAGCAGGTCGCTCCTGCCTGTCCAAGCTACTGGACCACTATGACAAGGTCCTGGATGCTGTAGAGGATAAACAAAATACAGATGTAGTATACACAGAATTACCAAAAGCTTTCGATAAGTGTGACCATGGTGTAATAGCACACAAAATGCAGGATAAAGGAATAACGGGAAAAGTTGGTAGATGGATCTATAACTTCCTGACAAATAGAACACAGATAGTAATAGTAAACAGAGTAAAGTCCCTGGCAGCCATGGTAAAAAGCTCTCTTCCACAAGGCACAGTACTCGCTCACTCGCTCCTATTCTATTCCTCATCCTCATTTCTGACATAAGACAGATGTAAGCTATAGCTCTGTGTCTTCCTTTGCGGATGACACCCGGATCACCATGGCAGTGACCTCCATCGAAGACACCGCGAGACTCCAATCAGACATCAACCATATCTTCGAATGGGCCACTCAAAACAACAGCAAGTTCAACGAGGAGAAATTTCAACTATATACTCAGATATGGTAAACTTGAAGAAATTAAAAATGTGTCAGGGCATACCACAAATCCTAACCATACAATAGAGCGAAAAAGTAATGTGAAGGACCTGGGAGTGATAATGTCAGAGGATCTCGCATTCAAAGACCACAGCAATGTATCTACCTCATCCGCTAGGAAAACGATAGGATAGATAATGAGAACCTTCAAAACTAGAGATGCGAAGCCCATGATGATTCTCTTCAAATCACTTGTGCTCTCTAGGCTGGAATACTGCTGTATTCCAGCGTAGAATGCAGACCTGGAGAGTGTGCAAAGAACTTTCACGGCACACATAAGTGCGATAAGGCTACTGGGAATGGTTGAAGGTCCTTGATCTGTATTCCCTCGAATGCAGGTGAAAGAGATGCATGATAATATACATTTGGAAGGTCCTGGAGCGATTGGTACCAAACCTGCACTCGAAAATCACTCCATATGAAAGCTAAAGACTCGGCAGGAGATGCAACATTCCTCCGATGAAACGCAGGGGCGCCACGAATACACTGAGAGACACAATAAGTGACCGGGACCCAAGACTGTTCAATTGCCTACCAGCATACATAAGGGGGATTACCAGGAGACCCCTGGCTGTCTTCAAGAAGGCACTGGACAGGCACCTAAAGTCGGTACCTGACCAACCAGGCCGTGGTTCGTACGTCAGTTTGCATGCGGCCAGCAGTAACAGCCTGGTTGATCAGGCCCTGATCCAACATGAGGTCTGGTCTCAGACCGGGCCGCGGGGGCATTAACCCCCAAAACCCTCTCCAGGTAAACACACTCAACACACAGTAAAGTACACAGAGCCACACACTCAACAAAAGTAAAGTGCCCAGAGCCTCCCTCCACACACTCAAAACACAGTAAAGTATGTTCCCAGAGCCTCCCTCCACACACTCAACACACACAAAAGTGAGCACATAAAGCCGCCCTCCACACACTTAACACACAGTAAAGTACCCAGAGCATCCCTCCACATACTCAACATACAGTAACGTTCCCAAAACGCCCCACCACACACTTAACACACAGTAAAGTACCCAGAGCCTCCCTCCACACACTCAACACAGTAAAGTAAGCACCCAGAGCCACCCTCCACACACTCAACACAGTAAAGTACCCAAAGCCGCCCTTCACACACTCAAACAACGGTAAAGCAAATAGATCCTCCCTCCAAACACTCAACACACAATAAAGTGCCCAGAGCCACCCTCCACACACTCAGCACAAGTAAAGTACCCAGAAACTACCTCCACACACTCAACACACAGTACAGTAAGTACCCAGAGCCACCCTCCACACAATTAACACACAGTACAGTAAGTACCCAGAGCCTCCTTCAACACATTTAACACACAGTAAAGTACCCAGAGCATCCCTACACACGCTCAACACACAGTAAAATTAGTACCCAGAGCCACCCACCACACACTCTGCACACAATAACATACCCAGATCGGCCCTCCACACACTTAACACACAGTAAAGTACCCAGAGCCACCCTCCATACACTCAACACACAGTAAAGTACCCAGAGCCACCCTCCACACACACAAAACACAGTAAAGTACTCAGAGCCTCTCTCCACACACTCAACACACAGTAAAGTAAGCACCCAGAGCCTCCCTCAACACACTCAACACACAGTAAAGTACCCAAAGCCGCCCTTCACACACTCAAACCACGGTAAACTAAATAGATCCTCCCTCCACACACTCAAAACACAGTAAAGTACCCAGAGCCACCCTCCACACACTCAACACACAGTAAAGTACCCAGATCTGCCGTCCACACAATTAACACGCAGTAAAGTACCCAGAGCCACCCACCACACACTCGACACACAATAAAATAAGTACCCAGAGCCATCCTACACATAGTCAAGTAAGTATCCAGAGCCTCCCTCCATACTCAACACACAGTTATGCACACTTAACCGCACTTCACGCACTTAGTACACAGTATATGTGCCAAGAGCTACCCTCCACACAATCCACACACGGTAAAGTAACCAGAGCCTCCCTAAACACACTCAACACACAGTAAAATATCCAGAGCCTCTCTCCATGCACTCAAGACACAGTGAAGTATCCAGAGCCACCCTCCACACACTCAGCACACAGTAAAGTACCCAGAGCCTCCCCCATGCACTCAACACACAGTTAAGTATCCATATCCACCCTCCACACACTCAACACAGTAAAATATCCAGAGCCTCCCTCCACACACTCAACACACAGTAAAGTACCTAGAGCCTCCCTCCACATACTCAACACACAACAGTAACTACTAAAGCAGTAACTACTAGAGCGGTAAGCTTGTCCAAATGTTCAAGTAAAAATACAAATAGAAATACAAATAGCCAGATCTTCACTTTAAGGAGGTTATTAGTAGAATATTCAAGAGGTTATTAGTAGAATACAGTAAATCAACTATTAAAATCACATTATGAAATCCTCTGTAGTCTGCAGCCAAACGAACAAGCGGGCTTCCACATGGATTACATGCAACCTTTGTGGAAATTAGGCTCACGCCTCATGTGCAGATATCCAAGAATTATCTACGAGAGGTATTAAAACAGGGAAGTGTTTTTGGGTATGCCCAAATGAGATCAATCTGTGGACTAAAATCGCATTGGTATTAAAAGTGGATAACATCAAAGCGGCCTTCATAGAAAACCTGGAAGCATTCTATAATAGATGGGAAAATAAAAAGTCTGGGCTGGATGGTGTCCTGGCCGACAGTTACTGTATGACTGGAGATGCTGGCCAGGTAGTCAGGAACTGTAAGGCTGGAGGTGCTGTCCTGGTAGAAAGTTACTGTGAGGCTGGAGGTGCTGTCCTGGTAGACAGTAACTGCATGCATGGAGGAATGCAGGAAAATGACTGGGTGGGTATTGAGAACTTTCAAAACAAGGGAAATAATGCTGATGGTGACACTCTTCAAATCGCTAGTGCTCCCTCACTTAGAATATTGCTCAGTGCTGACGGCCCCGTTCAGGGCAGGAGA